CATGTTTTGGGTGTACTATTCCTTTAACAAGCAGAAGTCAAGTATATGAAGTTCATTTAGTACGATGATTCAGACGGATTGAAGTTAATTGCTCTCATTTCAATGTAATCTTAGTTTTAACACAATGCATGTTTTTTTTGTTTGTTTTTTTTTTTGTGCGTTTTGTTGGTCAGTCACATAAAATCCCAATCAAATATTTTCCGGTTATAATGTAACCAAATATGAAAATGTTGAAGAGGGGTGAATTTTTCTGCAAGATACTGCAGCTCAAAAACACAAAAGACAAACAACAATAATGTTGTTAAATCCTGCCACTTTCTCATTTATTCTCATTTACTTTTACAGAAATAATTACCAAATGTGTTTTGGTGTATGATCTGAGGTAACCAACTTTATAATTCTTTGTGTTTTTTTGGCAGGCGTCATAAGTAATTGGACAAATGAGACTCGTATTCCTCCCTGCACCATCTTCCAAGCTTTTCAGTGCTTTCTGGACATTACTACTCCACCGACCCCTGTGCTGCTCCAGCAGTTTGCTGCTCTGGCAACCAATGACAAACAGAAAAGAAAACTAGAAATCCTCAGTAAGGTAAATTTATTTGACACTCGATTACTTTCCTCATGGAACTCACTACAGAAATACCATTTCCCAGCATTTGAACTGACTTTTTAAAGGTATTCTTATCTTTAACCACCTAAACACATGTAAAATTGTGGCATTAACATTTTAGATTTTTCCTACCTCTTCAATTCATAGCTCTTTAACATTCACCATGTGCCTAAGCCGCAACAGTAACTAACCCCCTCATTATGTTTGCTAAAATATGGGAGATTGTTTTCAATGTCTGAAAGCGGATTTGATGCACTTTGCACCGTTGAAAATGTGTACAGCAGGAGTTACCAGGAGCGAAATTAGAGCTGCTGATTGCTGTAACCCAGAAGTCCTTCCCCCATTATGGTGCCTCCCACAAGTCGCCCTCCCTTTTTGTTGTGTGAAAAAGGCTGGAGGAGGCCAAGCAGTGACTCATGTGTAGAATCACTGTCACTAAAGTGAGAGGAAAAGATGAAGGCCTTCTAAATTTGGAAAATAAAATGGCACAGTACAGTCGGCACTGCAGATACTTCTTTGTTTTTAGTCTTATTGAGTATCAAACAGCTCTTACAGTCGCTATGTTATGACTGATTACTTGCCTGTCTACCTATTCTTAAAACATGACTGAACCTGTGGAATGCTTGAAATAATGTTGCTTCACAAAAAGGCAAAGCTCTGTATTTTTTCAAGGTTGCAAAGCCAAAGTGATAAAAATTGTAATGCTCTTAATGGTAAGGGGTTCTTGTAAAAAAAAAAAAAAAAAAAAAAAAAAAAAGAAAAAAAAAAAAATGATTTTGAGGGATAAGATTTAAAACTGCAAAAAGAATAAATATTTCATTTGGTCTTTACGTTTTACTGTTTGCACGGACATACTTCATACTGTATAAAAGACTTTAAAAAAGACTTTCTTCTAAAAGGTTTTTGAAGCAGCTTATTTTTCCCTTTTTGACAATGCAGGGTTTGCAGGAATATGAGGAATGGAAGTGGTACAACAACCCTACACTAGTGGAGGTGCTGGAGGAGTTCCCTTCCATCCAGATGCCCTCAACTCTGCTACTCACTCAGCTTCCTCTGCTGCAACCCCGCTATTACTCCATCAGCTCCTCTCCTGACCTGTATCCAGGAGAGATTCACCTCACAGTGGCTGTGGTCTCTTATCGTACCAGAGGTGAGAATCTACCAGTAACTTAAAGCTTTATTTAAGGTTGAAGGTTTGTCCCTCCTAATATTATAAAGCTGCTTTTTGGTTATGTTTTTTTTCCTATTGAGTAGACATAAAGGGATAGTTTAGGTCCCTGGGCTTAAGTTCCTTTCAATTGTCAGAAATGTTTACATTTTACCTTTATTAGCTGGCTTTTTCAGTATCAGCATCCATAATTGCAAATTGTTGGAAACGGCTAAAGATTAAAAAAATAGTTTGTTTAAATGCACGTGGTATATGTTAATGGATTGCTATGATTGTATGACTAATCCCTGTATTGCAGGGATTTTTTTTTTCTTCAGTAAGTGAAAATAAGAGAAAGCTTCGGCCTTGTAGGCGTGTTGGGGCCGTTTTTTTCCTGTTAGTTTGGGCACTTAAAATGAGTGGGAGCAGGTTGTAGAGGGAAAAGGTAAACTGATTGCTTGGTGATCATCTTTTTCAGGTGGGCAAGGACCTCTCCATCATGGAGTATGTTCATCATGGCTGAACAGGATAGAGAAAGGAGAGATGGTGCCATGTTTTGTCCGAAGGTGATGATCAAAAATGAACTTTGTAAAACCTTATCACAAAATCCTTGCAACTTCTTTCTGTACATTGGAAAAAAATAAAAATTCTGGTGGAACTTTAGCAACATTTCCTCCCGTTCCCCAGCTGATGTACATTATGCTAATCCTTTTAATCTGTTTATGGAGTTTGTTAGTATCGATAAAATTTAGCTGGGTATGAGGTTTTAGTTTTTAGGACATGGTATGGAATTTAATTTACCCAAATTTCATATCAAATCCATTGTTACATCTCAAGTGTTGACATTTTTTAACTTCTTTACAATAAGAAATCAATCTAGTGTTGGATCTTCATATAATGTTAGTTTTGTTTTCTAGAAATGGTTGCTCTAGCAATGTTCTGGGAATTGAGAACGAATTTGAAAAGTTTTCATGACTCTTTTTCTTTAGTTTCCCCTTCAGTGCTGACAAATACCCATAATTCTTTGTAAAAGCTCTGCCTTTCATACCTGAGTGCTTCTATAAACAGGACATACTAAACATCAAAAACAGAATAGAAATACATGTATATGTTGGTGCACTGGAAGGGTCAGCATTAGGAACAGTTCAAGTTTTGCTTTTTCATCCCATGATGCTTGCAATAATAATAATGATAAAAGGGCAGTTGACAAAAGTGCTGCAAAAGGTATCCTATCTTAAGATTATAAAATCAACTTATTTTTTAAACGTATTTTCACTTGAACAATAAAAGTAAGCATGGCACAAAGTTCGCTAACATGATGCAGCCTAGCTTTTCTTGACCATACAGTAAATGTTTTTAATGATCTTCATTCCTGCAGCCCTGATATACAGCATGGTTTATGCTGTTTTTACAAGGAAAATTATTAGCTAATGTGCTGAAACCTGTTGACATGGACAGTTATAGAGTTATAGAAAACATAGTTTTAGGTGCACACTACATTGAATTTAACCACATAATTTACAAGGTTAAGTCAAATTAATTTGATAACACTGGTCATTAATGCTCAGCAGAGTCAGGGTTTATATATCTTGGCTCTTTGTAGAGCAAAACCTGTCAACTTTCAGTGGAATGTTTAATCTTATCATGGGCGTTGCCTCTTCAATTTCTGCTTCTCCATGGCTTTAAATCAACAAAGTTCATAAATTATCAAAGGATAACCCTATGACTGCTTATTGTCTGTGTTAGAAGATGGGACTTGAAGATATTTGACTTCCTAAGGGCTTCCTTAAACAATTGCGATACCTTAATAGACTGAGTTGAGCCATCGATAAAGGTTAAACAAGCCACACATATTAGTTACCGTTGCATGGTGTTTGATACCTGTTCTTTGCCATCTGTTATTCCAATAGATGTTTTTTACTTGGTGCATTTAAGCACAGCCATGTAGTCAAAGTGCGTCCAATTAATAAAACAGTTATGGGTTTGTTTTAGGTTTACAGCACTAGTGGCTCATTTTTATGGACAGTAGGCTGACAGAAAAGGGGGTATGGGAGAGGGGGAGAGACATGCAGCGAAGGACCACAGGTCGCATTCGAACCCGATAGGTTCAGTACAACTGATTTAGAAGCAAAAGCATTAAGTTTTAAGTTCTCTAAAAGTGTAAAAATTATCTTTGTGTATATTATTGCTAAGGACTGTTAATCTTCACTTGTGATGACTTTCACTTTGTGCAATACCACCTTTCATTTCTATCCTTTCTGACATTTTAGCGCACCATCATTCCAACTTCCCAAAGACAACAAAGCACCTTGTATCCTTGTGGGCCCGGGAACAGGCATTGCACCATTCAGAAGCTTTTGGCAGCAGAGACAGTATGACCTTGAGCAAAACGGTAGGTTTTTGTTTTTACCAGAGTTTGAGTTTATTTAAAAAGGGACATTGCATATTAATGAAGGTATACATTTTTGGTTACACAGATTTTGGTTTACAGTTAATTTACATTTTTAGTAAGATTGGCAGGTTGAGTCAACAACATAAAATAATAAAATCAATAAAACGATAACAACAAATAAAGTAACCCTTCATGGCTGTGGGGAGTATATTTAGGTGGAGAAATTACAGAGAGGGATCACAGAAGAAAATTTTTTTACTGGTATCAGTAATTTTGGAAAAGCTCTCTATAATCTCCTGCTAAAGAGACTGAATAGATACGATTGTAAAATACCATTTTCAGTATTGCATTAAAAGCAAGTTATTTCTGATAAAATAGCTGCATTGTACCATGTACAAAGTCCAATGTTTAGCAGCAATCTAACTCTTGCTTTTAAGGGATTAAGTCGTGCCCCATGATCCTGGTGTTTGGTTGCCGACAGTCTGAGATTGATCACATCTACAAAGAAGAGACTCTCCAGGCCAAGAACAGAGAAGTGTTCAAAGAGCTTTATGCTGCTTATTCCAGAGAGCCTGGCAAACCAAAGGTAAAGCCACCAAAGGACTTAGTGCAGAACATTTGTCGTCGACTTTGATCATTTGATAAAATCTTGATTTTTATTCATCTGATTATTAATTTTTTTTTTATGTAAACCATGGTTGAAGGATTTCATCTTGTTAGTTTTACCAAAGATCTACTATTTGCCCTTCGTAATTCTCAGATTATCGCCGATTTTTCCGTCAATATTTTCTCCTAACTGTTCCAGAAATATGTACAAGATGTATTACGCGAGCATCTGTCAGAAACTGTTTACCAGTGCCTGAGAAAGGAAGGTGGGCACATCTACGTGTGTGGAGATGTAACGATGGCTGGAGACGTTCTGAAGACCGTCCAGCAAATCATCAAACATGAGGGTCAAATGAGCATAGAGGATGCTGGTTTCTACATCAGCAAGCTTCGGGTAAGAAGCAACCCTCTGCAGGGGTAGATAAGCTTTTACAATGTTGTTTCTTCTGTTCTGGTTGTTGGGATCCACAATAAGCAATTATTCCTTTTTTTCTTTAGAGAAAGCAGGGCTGCAGTAGAAAAATGTAACTAAGTAAAAATTATTCTTTAGAATAACGTAACTAAAGGGCAAACACAAAATGGTTTCTAAATCCAGTCCTTTTGGTACAATTTCTTTTAAAATAAATGAAATATTGTATATACATGTAGGTTGCATTTTGTTCAGTGAAGTCAGTTGCTGTTTAAATGCTTTTATTTTCCCTAAGTTAGTTTATTTTTTATAATCTTTGCTATGTTGTCTGTTAGGATGAGAACCGGTACCACGAAGACATCTTTGGTGTCACTCTGCGCACCTATGAGGTCACAAATCGGCTTCGGTCAGAGTCCATCGCCTTCATTGAGGAGAACAAAAAGGACTCAGATGAGTACGTTCAGTTCAGAATTAAATATTAAATAGGAATATTTATTTAGATTGCTAAATAAACAAGTCAAATCTGTGATTGAAGCTATGATGTCTTTTAGTTGTGCTTATAGTGTTTTGGTACAACTATTTCAGTCACTAGAAAATGAAAACTGGATTTCAAACTTTTCCCCCAAAGCTGAAGATTGAAGTTTTTTGAGATAAATATTTTAATTCAAGTCATGTTATTGTTTGTGCCATTTTGTCACAATTGCTACTTAGTTTTCATTGCTATTTTATATCTAACGGTTTCAATGACTGCTGGTCTGATTGACTAAAACAATTAATTTAGTGCCCCTGAGTGCTGTCACTTGTCAAGTGCTGAACCTGCTGACTTTAAAAGAAATGTAGTTTTAAAATATCATGCCGTAAATTAAACACAAAAATACATCCCATATAAATAAAATGCTTCCTGTTGACTCAGTATTAGATGTTTTTGGTTGTTTTCATGTATATTATTCATGATAACCTTAAGTTAACAAAATCGTTTGACTGCATCACCATATTTACAATATTCATATCAATATTCATTGTGTTCCACTTACAAATCCACACCCTTTTATATACAGATATGCAGACCAATAGTTAACATTTAGTTAATTGTTCATTTAGATTTGTCAGTAAACCTAAGGGTCATGTTTTTGGATTGTGAGAGGAAGCCGAAGTACCTGGAGCAAACCCCCATATGGTCAGGAAGACCATGAAAACTCCATGCAGAAGGACCCTCGGGTCAGGAATCTAACCCAGGTCCTTCAACCTTTAATGCTATGTTCACTATTAACACGATTGAAGCAGCTGGTTTAAATGCTAAGTCAATAGTCTATGCGCATCAAGGCGCTTCAAAAGGTCCTGCAGCGCGTCTAGAGTTGCAGGAGCAGCGCAACTTGATGAAACTGAAGCAGCGCCTCATGAGCTTTTGAGCATCTAAAGTGCGTGATGCGCTTCACAAACAGCAGATGCTGGAGTTAGAAAAATTTAACTTTTACTGCTCGACGTGCCACATCAACCAATCAGAGAAGCTGATTTGGGAGGGAGACAGACACAGCTCTGCTGATGCAGAGCACTCCCCTGTAACAGTTTATTAATGCCTAAATTAACTTTAAGGTCGATACCTTCCAGCAAAATATGTTTGCTGTTATTATTCTGGTGCCTGCAGTTGAAAAACCTTAACATCTTATTCACAACCCCATGAACATTAGCTGAATCCCCGCAGCTCCCGCTGGAGATTCCCAATGACGCTGCACAGCCGGTATGTCAGGGACAGACGACGTTTTGAGGTGGATTTTCTCACTTAAAAACATATTAAAAGTACTTTTTACCCACCGATTCCAGCTAATATAGAAAAGTCGCTCTTTGCCGTTGAACACAGGAGCATCAGACGCATCTGGACATACTTTAATGGACATGCTTCAGGAGCGTCAAATATGCTCTTGACGTGACTCTGACTTTAATGTGTAAGCATAAAAAAATTAAGCAGTAGAAGTGCATCCCTTGTGAACGTAGCATAAGGCAAAAGTGCTACATAGTGTATCAGAGAGTAATCATCTAATTAAATGTTAGAATACATTTTTTTGTTTTTTGAACATTTCCCTTGTTGAATTTTTAACGGAACAGCAGGTTAGTATGGATTGTAAAGCATAAATCCAATGCGATAGATCTCAAACAATGAGATTATCATTTGCTATTATTTCAAGACAATTTCGATCTGCATCCTGGAGTTGTTTGGCACCAGCGTGTTGTCACCCCAACATTCAGATGAAAACAGAGTGGGTAACCATAGAAACGTGTGGAGGGAGGCCTTTAAACCAGCAGGATTAGAGTGAATGCGGATGGCCCTGTTCAATTTCTGTTTTTTTTTTAACGTTTTTTTGTACATGTTCAAGATTTTACTCTTCATACACCCTTGCCATGAGAGCTAAACAAGGGCGCCACATAGCCACTCTAGCTCATTAAGTACCAACATAATGCATCACAGACGATGGTTCCTGTGTGGATTGTCACTTGAATTTCACATTTGGCCATCAAAGCCCCTGCTCACTGGATGAGTAATGACTGTTACATCTTTGTTTTTGTGTCTCTCTTTCTCTGCGTTGGTTTGTTTCTCTCCTTTTCTGTCTTTCCTGCAGGGTTTTCTGCTCATAGGCCGACAAATGGAGGGCCTGTTAAACGCAAACAGCCTAAACGACACTGCAACGCTGATTAAAGAATACTGTGCCAATTTTTGTACTGTAAAAAAAAGGGGGTTTCTTTCTTTTTTTATACCACTTAACAGTTCTGTTGGGCTCTGCAACTTTGTGTGTAGCAAGTTGGAAATGTTCTGTTCTGATATTGTTTTTGCTTGTTGACGATACTTCCAAAAATGTATAAATGAACCATTATGATTCATAATGTGTGCACTTAGTGTATTGAACTGCCTCATTGTGAATGCATGACAAAGAAATTAATATAATCAAGAAATATACTGTACTCTGTGTTATTGTTGCAGTTTAAATGCTTTTATTAAGGTTATATATTTGCAAGAAAATGCGTATCATTGATTTAAAAAAAAAAAGTTCTGTATTAAAACTGTCAACTTCACCTGTTGGGAATGTGTAGGGGCTGGTAAAACTATTATATTTTTGGGGATTTATTATTCACAAAGGCTAAAGTAGATGAAGCTAAGATGGCAGAAGATGTACAGGCATGCAGATGGCAAAAAGTATATGGGTAATTTAGAAATCAAGATATCATGTGGACTAGTCACCAAGTTATGAAAAAATATTTTTTTGGTCTCTGCTTCAATAGGTATAATTTGATTTACCAATCAAGTAATCAGCTCCAGACAAAATACTATTTAGTGGAACATTCATCCTGTCAGGTTTTCATGTCTCAGCTGGAGCTTTTAAAACTAATCAAACAGAAATCTGCCAAAAAATCAAATCCACACGTTTAAATTTATTATAGGGTCTGAGATTTTACTGTTGTGTTCAATAGGGTACAATGTGTAAAGCGAATGATGAGGGAATAATTATCCCAAAGAGTACAGTTTTGAATCTGAAATGAATAAAGTAATGGAAAAAGTTAAAGGGTAATTGTTTGAATATGTTAAAATCTAACTGATTTTTAATAAAATGCTCTATGATGAGGATGTTGCAAGATTGTTTTTTCTTAAATTCAGTCATTTAAATGTGTGTGCAGTTACCATACTTGTCCTGTGTAGTGTGCAAGTCTGTGTTGCATCACGTCTTCAGTCATGTTACCTTAGTGGCAGCAAATTCTTAGCCCCTCAGCAATACTTGGATGTTTGTTTGATATGCTGTAAAACTGCATCTATTGTACTGTATTTAGCTCTTGGTAAGCCCCTTTATTGTATTGCTGCACATAAATTTGAAACTGCAGGCTGCTGACGTCGATTACATTTTATACAGTTTTTACATTTTAATGTGTAGACGTCTTGTAAGCAAGCCCTTTGGCAGTTTCTCATTTGCTTAATTGTCCTTGATTGGCAAGACTCCTGGACATTTAACACAAACTAGATATGTTAGGAATCCATCCAGTGTGCTGTGAGGTTTAACAATATACCAGACAAACCTTCAAACTAGGTGTACATCGTAAAGTAAATGATGGTATATCCTGCACTTCATAGCTGGATTTCACAGTTTAAAGGAGGGCATAATCATCCTGAAACTATTTTCCATCATGGCAATAGTCATTCAGGGGAATACATTTGGTCAATTGAATTACACAAGCTAACCCCTTCACTGTAAACCCAAACAGTTCTGAATACTGAAAAAACTTTTGTGGAAAGAGATTGAGCAAGTTATTCAGAATATTTAGTTTGAAGTACTCGCATGTTTTGCATCATGATTTCAATGCTGTATAAAGTATAAGTACTTCAAACTGAAATATTGTACTTCATCCATCTATTTTCTGTCACGCTTTATCCCAGCTGGGGTCATGAGGGGTGCTGCTGCCCATTACCAGCTGTCTACGGGCAAGAGGCGGGGTACACCCTGGACAGGTCGCCAGTCTTTCGCAGGGCAACAAACAACCATTCACGCTCACACCAAAGAGAATTTAGAAGAAAAAGCTATTTAACCTAACAGTCATGTTTTTGGACTGTTGGGGGAAGCCTGAGTACCCAGAGAGAACCCAAGCATGCTCAGGAAGAACATGCAAACTCCATGCAGAAAGAATTCAATTCCCAGGCCGGGATTGAACCCGGAACCTTCTTGCTGCAAGGCAGCAGTGCTAACAACTGTGTCAATGAGCAGCCATATTCTAACTTCATTACTCAAAAACATTTGGCTAATCCGTTTCCAAAAATTTAGTATTCTGAACTTTGCATCAAGTAAAAGGGCAACAGACTACTATATAAACTAAACCAGGATGTTTTAATGAACTTGTGAACTGCAAACCAAACGAAGAACTTGAGCTTTTACTATTAAGGCTCAAGCCATAAAATCAGCTTTGGGGTGGTTCACAGCACTTTGAAGTAATCAAGAGACAGATGTTAGACATGTGCATGGAACAGACACTCTAAATTGTTTTTACATCAACAAACCTATGAACTAGCCTCAAATTATACTCCTTATTTTTGATATTATTTTTTTTAAGAGCAGAAATTTCAAAATACAAGGGATGTCTTTAAATGTGCTGTTACAAAGAATTTAGTGCGTTTTAAGAGTGCCAGTTAAGGTTTTAAGATTTCCTTTTCTTTGCTAACTGCATCCCCGCTGTAGCAATTCTCATCGAGCTAGAGAGCTTTTTTCCTCAATGTTCTTTAAAAAATAGCTGTTTCATGGCAAAACATTGAGGGAAGCAAGCTGCGCTGCCCTGATCATATCAGACAGCTGTCGACTCGCACGTTCATCACAAATAAGGCTTTTAAAGAAAAATGCATTTGTAGCATCTTTAGTTGTCTGCGTCTTGCCTTACATTACCTCTGTGTCAACATATGGTACATCACTTGTTTTCCTTTGATAGAAGAGAGATCCCACTGCCTATTAAAACAAAAAAAAACTGTCGGTATGGGTATATGTCTGCCTAATTATGTTTTAAAGATCCGATCCAGTTTTTACATCTTTGAGTGCATATAAACTCACTTTTTTGTTCATTTAATTTTGAATATTAATTGAATAATCTTAAAACGAAAGACAAAGACATGAAACGTGGACTTGTGACTGCCAAACAAGCCTGCAAATAAAGTTTTATATGCCATTTAGTCCACGTAGAGTGTAGAGATCTCCACAGGAAAATCTAATTGTTTTAAAGGATTTATAAGACATTGTCTCAGTAAAGTGCATTGAGATGACGTGTAATTATGCTATATACAAATATATAACTGCAATTTACTGTAAAGTGAATCAAAATTATCCTCATTTTTCATCTATGATAAAAATTCCCATGGTTGCTCATAAGAGTGCAGCACTTGGTATTGTTTGCAAAAGAGCAGCATTTAAACATGGAAGCTGGCATGACAAGTAACCCAGACTTAATAACTAATTCAATTCAAAATTCAGCTCAAAAATACTTTATTAAACCAAAAGAGAAAAGACGCAGTTATTCATGGACAGTCTTTCAATGAGATGTTGTAGGTGTTGATTTCTGTAGCGGTATTAATAAGCTTCGGTATCCTTCAAAATAAACAACTTTCTGTGGCTCAATCATCTTGAATTTGGCAGCAACATTGTTCCAACATAAAATACCAAATGCTGTTTTGGCAACTCTGGGAACTCTCATATGATTGGCCCAGAAAGCAGGATGCAACAAGGGTTATACACTGAACTGAATGGGTTCTAATGCGTACCTCTAAGTTTGAAAGGGAAAAAAAAATGTCGAGGGAGAGTACTGTACTGTTTAAAGTGAATGTTATTTTTATTCTGGATGAGAAATAAAAATGATTTTGGTATATTTTACAGTAAATTTCTTACTTTGCTTCTTATTGCTCCTGTAATTTCTAATCAGTTTGTTAATTTGCTGCTTTAGTTGGAGGGGAATTTCATCAAAAATGTGCAATTTCTTTTTTTCTGTAACTTGATTTGCAATACATGTAGGTTTTACAAAAAATACACTAAAGAACAGTTCACTACCATCAAGGTTCACAGGCAATATTAAATGGTTACTCAGCCCTGTGGATATGATGCTACCCCCCACCCAAAGACCCCATTTGGTGAATGACCACATAAAGGTTTTCAAAGTCACTTTAGATCAGCATTCAAGATGAAGCAATTTGGATCCCAAGAGCAGTCTATATTAATGATAACCAGAGCCATGTACCACGTATCACCAAAGTGAGGGTGGATCTGTCTCATCTTTGAAATACGATCGATAATCCGGATAGATGGAGATGGCTTGACAAGAGGGTAAAAAGAAGTGGTTTGTATTATTGGACAGAAGTAAAATGAACCCAAACGTGAGAAACGGCTTTAAAGCAGAAGGACATCCTAATAATGTAGTCAATGAAAAAACAGACCTATGGTAAGATCTAGGAGTGAGTTCTCTTAAGCATTAATGGAAAGTCAATCAGTCCTTCCTCTACAGCTTGTCCATCAGGGTTACTCTCCCCAGCTGTCTACAGGCTAAAGACAGGGTACTCCCTGGACAGGGTGAAATGTTGAAATGGAGGAGGGCACACATTGAAGTGCGTTTTTCAACTCCTGGTTCTGCTGAACATTGACTGTTTGAGGGTGGACCTCTGAATGTACCGGTAGTTAGGATTTGACACTGAGAGCTTAAAACTAATATATATCTGTTGGGATGCCAGGCACACTCAAAACATTGATTAGCAACTTGGATTTTTCTCCACCTAAAAGCAATTCAATGACAGACTTAAAAAAAAAAAAAAAAAAAAGGTCAGTTCTTTTGGGTGAACCGAGAGGTAATTGGTTAATTAAAAGGATTTGTTATAAAGATTTATCAAATCCTTTAGTTCCAGCAACAGTGTTTTTTTTTTGTTTTTTTTTTGTTGCAAGTATGCAAACCTTAGAACATTACAAGTGTTTTAATCCACTTTTCTAGTTTAAATGGGAAATAAAGTTCAGATGGACTTATCAGAATCTCAACTGACCTTGTATTTATAAGCTCTGGCAACAGGAAATTAGTTTACTTTTTTTTTTAAAGGGACAGAAAATGTAACAATTATCACTATTGGGTTAAAGAAAATTTATATATACATGTATGTATATTGTATATTCCAGATTACATTTTTCCTAAATAATTTTATTGCTGTAGTGCTGTATTTGATGAAAGGGCAATGCCACTCAGATTTTGGAGGATGGGTGGTGATGAAATCTATTGCAATGTTGAAAAGTTTGAGATCTGAAGAAGGTATGTGGTCATGCAGAACCTAGGCCAACCCCAGGAGCTCAATAGATCATCTGAGAACGGCTGAAAGATGGGAAATGAAGGCGATATACGGGGACCACCTCATTCTAGGAAGAAAAATCCCAAAATAAGAGTCCAATCTGCCCCAGTCCTACATCATCAGGGCTTTCATCTGAGATTTTATCAAGAAAGAGAATTTTAATTAATATTTTTCATATCAGATTGGCAGGTTAAATTAAAATGAGAAAAAACTGAGATCAATGTACCTGGAGAGAGTTAGTGACTTGTAGATTGTAGGCAGGAGAGGTTATGTTCCATATAACCGATTGCTAAGGAGTCAGGGATAACCAAATTAAAAGTAAATTGAGTTGTTAGTTGGGGAAACACAGAAGAAAGAAAAAAAATGTTTATCATAGTTTTTGGGAACTATGAAGTTAAGCGTAAAGGGAGCCGCCATTCAAGATTATGACAAAAACAGGTGATGGGTTGATAATGTTTATGATCCAAAATTCATACAACATTCAATACAGTTTAAATGTACGGTATAGTAAAAGCTGTTCACATGGCTTTAAGAGAGCTACTAAGGTGAAAAATGAATATTAAAACTAGTGACGAGGACTTGTATTGAGCCTATGTATGATGTCAGTAGTCAAACCTCTGCATTTCTCTGCATACTTCGCTTCCATGTCTGCCTGTTTGACTGCAATTTTCAGTCATTCAAATTCATTGTTGCTTATGCCAAAATAACCTCTTTTATTCAAGCAGGCAATAACAGTAATGGCCATCAGACAAGTTTCTGTATTTACAACAGATTAATGA